TACATCAGCGGTGCCAGATGGTTCCTCATAATTTTTAACTTCCGAACGTTAATGAATAAACCAGTCCACGAAGCTGTGTTGCATACCGAAGCCGTTGGGTGACACGCCTCGCTTCTGTATGCATGTTGGTGTATCCTACAGTACAAGGCTCACCGGAAGTTAAGTGCTGACCGGATTCAATTGGTCTGCCAATTCCGTATAGCTTTTTCAGCTACATTTAACGAAGTGGCATCAGATGGAAGCAACTGGATGCATCTACAGCAAAGATTGGAAGTACATATGGAAACTCTCTCGATGGGCTTATGCAGACGATCTGGAATGAGGACTAGTCAGAGAAACAAAATCACCGACCATGTGCAGGGAAAGGAAGTAGCGCTGCCTTTGGAAGCGATTGAAATAGTTTGTCACTGGCAAAGAAGCCAAAAGTGCTTGCAGAAAAATGATCAACATCGATTGTCGATTCAAAATGAATATAAAAAATATGAAAATGTAGAAGCAACCTCCCGGTGTCGTGGATATATTATGAAACTCTCGTGTGTGCACCGTGTACTTCATGATAGGGTTTTGGGTAGTTGCCTCTCCGTTATCTGTGACAGTGGTGTTTTTCTTCAAGTGATGACCGATTTTCAAGCAGTTAGACGATTGGACACACTTTCCCTCTGCTTCCTCCTCAAGTGCAGCAAATCGTTACGTCTGTAAACACTGAATTGGAAAATTCTCTTTCGACTCATATTCCACTGAACTGCAGTGAATTTCCAACTTCCAAAAAACTTCCTGAAATTATATTAGTGCGCACAGCAGAAAGTATACGTTACTTGATCATCGCTATGCACTACCTCGACAACAATTCCGAACCGCGATATTCCTCAACCTTCCATATATGGCTGATTCCAAATGCGCACCACATGATACATGAACTGATCTAGTTATGTTCGAAAAAAATTACTGTTATCAATTACTGCCCAGGGAAAGAATATTTCTAAAGAATAGTTAGGGATCGCCTCAGGCTTTGGATCAGTGATGCAAGGTAACTATAGAGCTTTTTAGGAGCCAATGTGCATCCGCTAAATACAGAACTTGCTGAAGAATAGCATTTTGGTGCTCAGTCATATTTATTTCATTTTCACTGAGCTTTTCTCACGCCATTATGGTTCATATCGTAGAATATTGTGAATTTCGCTCTCCATAAATTAATCATCATCACCATCATCACCATCATCTTCATCATCCATGGTCGCTTATCCTTTCAGGTCGTCGAGGCAGACAGGTCAGACAGAGCTTCCAACGTTCCCGATCCTGTGCCAGAGTCTCAACTACGGCAGAGGACGAAGTCTGAAAGAGACTCTTTTCACATATTTGCACCAGTTTAATCTTGGCCGTCCCCTGGGCCTTCCGCCGGTCGGATTTGAAAGGAACAGTTGCTTAGCGTTCTATTCTGGAGGCATTCGCAACACATGCCCAAGCTATCACAGCTCTGGAGAAGCAAAGGCTGTAA